TCTCTCTCTCTCTCTCTCTCTCTCTCTCTCTCTCTCTCTCTCTCTCTCCGTTTGTCTATTTGTCTTTCAATCTTTCGGATAAAATTTTCATTATATCCCCGCTGTTTTTTGCTCATTTTCGTGCACAGTTTGAAACCATTTTCGAATTAAAAAACTTTAGGTTTTTTATGCCCAGCACCAGGGTATGAAGGTATATTAATTTTGTTGTTAGGTTTATCCACGTATTATAATGTACATATATATCCTTGATTACTATACGATTTCAAATTAATTTAATTTGATGTTCATCTTCTGATTGCTACCTCTTTCGTAGTTGATTTCGCTGGTAAAGTTCTAGAGGATAGCTCCGTAAATTTGGTAAACTGGAATTTCTAACTGGTTTCTTTCGATAATTTTCTGAATATTAGCATATTTTCATGGGAGCTTTTAGAATTTCTATAAAACAATCGGATTCCCGTTTACAGTTAACGAAGAACGGATCTGCAGGATATCAAAGAATCGCATTAAAGTGAAATACAATTTAAAAATAATTTTTTTCTCTTTTGCTCTTTTTTGTTTATTATGCAATCATCGTTGTCCTCGTCATCACTCTACAAGCAATATTTAAGACATGAAAATTAGTTAATGTACATAATTGTAGGGAAATAAAAAAAAAATATATATACAAAAAAGTTTTTTTTTTATATATTTTGAATATATGAAAAAGGTTTTAAATCTGAAAAAGGAGCATTGGATTTTTTTTTTTATATATCCTTCTTATTATTTTTATTAGTCCCTCCTGTAAAGAGTTTTTTATCTAACATTCCACATATATACACAGAGTGGTTTTAAGTTGTCCAATTTTAAAACAGTAATGAAATGCAAGAGAAATGCACTTATTTTGTCAAGTATTTGGTATGTGAATGAAAAATTCGAAAGCTCTGGGTTTCATTTCGATTTTAGCGATCAATTGGTAACAAGTGAGAAAATTGTGTTTGAAATTGTGGTCGCAAAATTGAGTATCGGTCGGTCATTAAGTATCTGTTT